GAACCGAAAACCTCAACTCTGATCAGATTTCTGGTGTTGATTACCTTTCTGGATTAGTTTTTCGTTGTACTGACATTTAACATCGCCTGACCGTACTTGGATTCTCTTACATGACTAGATGAGGGTCGCCCCGAATCGGGAACTATTTTGTATTGGTTGATGCAACTATCGGCCACTCGTGTGAAGAGAGTCAAATCGATCTTTCATGCTATCTCTGGATTTCTCCTATCTTTTGGGTCTTTAGTGATATTCTTCGCTCCTCGTTGTTTGAATTGAAATGTGCAGCATGGAAGTTTTCTATTAACAATTCATCCAGAAAAAAAAAAAGGCAGAAAAAGAACATGAAAGTTCTCAACTTTTGTTATTCCCTTTCTGTGGATTTACATTTTTTCCTAGAAAATCTGTTTTCGGATTTGTGTTGCTGTTTATTTATGGATTCTTGATGTGTTTTTTAAACGTGAATACTGAAAATATAAGACTGATTAGATCTTTGGTCCAGGTATCAGGTGTGTTTTTGTCCTTTGCTTCTTCCATTGAACTTGCTTCATTGCCTATCTGTTCGTTGCTTGCTCTTCTTCTCAAGCATGTAACTTTTGCTTCATGTTTTCTGCATTTACTAGTTCTCTTTTCCCGATAATGCATATGTTTCAAGATTGTAATATTTGTCAGGACTCAGGTCTGGTTAAGCAACTTGGTAATTAATATAATCCAATTATCATACAGGTTCTCTGATTTGTGAAACTTCATTGAAGCCCTCTGATACTTGCATCAAGATTTTGGACAAAAGTTCAAATTTATTGAAAGGTTTCACTTTGAGGCAAAATCTACAAAAATCATGTCATTTCTGTCAAAGTTAAGGTGCGTCACTGTGGATGTTACCGGTACTCTCATAGCATACAAAGGGGAGCTCGGTGATTACTACTGCATGGCTGCCAAAGCAGTTGGTTTGCCTTGCCCTGACTATAAACGAGTCCATGAAAGCTTTAAATTTGCTTACACAGAGATGGCCCAGAAATATCCTTGTTTCGGATTTGCAGCCAAAATGCCCAACATTGTGTGGTGGAAGACTTGTGTCAGAAATTCGTTCGTGAAGGTAAAATATCGCATTCTTTTGGCATGCCCTCGGTTCTCTCTTGTAGAATTCTCATGTGATGTTCTATTTGCGTTGCCAGATTCACCGGGTTTTAGGTGTTGTTTCTTTTGTGTTTTCCTTTTATATGCGGTAACAGGCAGGATATGACTATGATGAGGAAACCTTTGAGAAGATATTCAGGCGCATATACGCATCTTTTGGGTCAGCTGCACCTTACACTGTGTTTGAGGACTCTCAACCATTTCTGAGATGGGCACGTGAGAAGGGGCTTAAAGTAGGGCTTGTTAGCAATGCAGAGTACCGGTATCGTGATGTTATTCTGCCTGCCTTGGGTTTGAACCAGGTAATGCCGGAGAAAAATATCCCATGTTCCATGTATTAGCGTGAGACATTGCATAATGCTTGAGTTCCTCTTTGTTTTTCTATGACATTGGGATGCTATTCCATTTGTAGTAAGGTCACATTAGCATTGGCTGTTGTTCTTGCAGTCGTGTAGAATAGCTAATCAAACTGAATTATGTCATTCCACAGAATTTAATCAACACATCATGTTATCTGATTAGTTGTGTTGTTTAGACATTGGTAAGGTTTCTGAGTCTCTGACATACACTGAACGATACTCCATGGTTCAGGGAACTGAGTGGGACTTTGGTGTATTCTCTGGTATGGAAGGCATAGAGAAACCAGACCCGAAAATTTATGAGATAGCACTCGAGAGGGCGGGGAATCTTGCAGCGGGGGAGGTTCTGCACATTGGAGACAGCATGCGGAAGGACTATGTCCCCGCAAAGAGCATAGGCATGCATGCTTTGCTTCTGGATAGGTTTAAGACTGCTGAGGCCGAGAATTGGAGGAAAGCCGGCACCACGGTACTTCCAGACTTGGTTCATGTTCAACAGCTGCTCCTGTCTGATAAGTTTACTGTTTAACTGCTGAGACCTTTTCTTCTGTGAGCTCTTGTTCTTGATGAATCAAGGTTTTTCATGGATTTTTTTTCTTTTCTGTTCTTGGTAAAAGTAACAGTAGTGGGTATTTTCCGGTTGCTTGGGGAAGATTTTTTTTTTTTGGGCTCAGAAAGGTCACAGGCTTGAGGCTACTACTGCTGTTACCTTGGAAGAGTAAAATCACTGTATTTTCATTTAAGTCACAGCTGAAATAGAAGAAATGAAAATACTTTTTCTACAAAATTCAGAAGCTATATTATCTGTGAGAAGTTATGGAGTTTACGTTTACACATCCAACTGCAAAAGTCAACCTGACATTACATGTCGAAAGGCTTCAAGACTTCAAAGTGTTAAGGTGGAACATTATGGCTTGTTCTGAGACCTTATATTCGTAATCCGATTTCACCAGCTAACCAGCTAGTCACGAAACCCACACTTGAGAAGTGTTCATACACGTGTTGAGAGCTCGAACCTCCATGGGCACGGAAGACTTATATCACACTGAGCTGCAAAAGAGACCACATGAACAGAAGTGCATAAATGGCAAAGAAGAGGTTTGGATAATGACTTAATCCAAGGTCCTCACAATTGATCTGACAACCACAACAATGCCTACTTCGTATGGTCAGAGATTTGATACTGACTCTTTACTCAAAAACATTTATGCCCATTAATGACATTAAGTAATACCAACATATGATATGTTAACGCCTATGAGCGTGTAACCAGAAAATAACACCGTGGGGGAAAGATTACCGGCAAATTTAATTTGAGATGGTTCCAGCTCTTACATGAAATTATGAGCCATGATGTACACACTTGTGCCATAAACTTCTGCGGACTACATACTCAAAACTAATCCATCCTGTAACTTACGCGTCTTTCGAGCATTGCTTGCCATTGAAAACTCCATAAAGGAGAAGCCTTGGAGGATTTGAAGAGCAGATTGCAGGCCAACCCACCCGCCCATAAAACATCAACAGCAAATAACCCCCTGGAAATTGGAATTGTTAGAAGAAACGGTGATCTAAAGGAAACCACAATGTTTTGCGATCTATGCTACAATTAAGAGAAATGAAGAAGGAATAAGAGGAACCTGTCAAGTAGGCTTCCATTTGATAAAGAAGAGGTAAAAACAGGGGGGCCCTTCATTAACACAAAGTTGTGTGAACTGGAGTGGAGATATCTGAGCTGTTCATAAACTTTGGGGAGAAAATAAATTCCCCAACAAATTTTTGCTAGCCAGCAAACTTGTTTCAGCATCCAATCCGATTTAGAAGTTAGAAGAATTTGGAATATAACCAGTTCTCCAAAAGCAATACACTTGCCCATAATGCTTACAGGGATCTTCTTGGGTTCAAGAATACAGATTCCTCCAGCATTTATCAATGGCAGCTCGGATCTTCTTGGGTTTGAAAATCTCCTGAACAATCAATGCCCAAGTAGAGGTCTTTGGTGTCAGATACTTCCCCAGCATTATTTCCACAACTCTGCAAGCACCTGAAGTTCTCCGACGCTTCAAAAGACGTACAACAAGCCCATCAAGAAAATCCCTTCCTTCTTCGGCAGGATCTGGTTTCTCGCTAAAAGTTTTCAGAAAAGCGCTACATGTTACAACATCAGGATCACACCCTCTATCCAACATACAGTTCAAGAGATCCACAGCCCGAGAGACGTTATTCTGCTTACATAAAGCATTGACAAGTATATTGTAAGTAACAACATCGGGCTGTGCCTCAGGTTCCTGACAAAGCATATCATAGTATAGTCTTAAAGCTGCATCCATAGAACCAGTATCACAGAGACCCTTAATCATTGAACTATAAGCTACAGTGTCAGGCTTGCGCCCATTAGTAAGCATGAGTGACCATATCATCATAGCCTCCTTGAGCTTACCATGCTGGCAAAGACCGTCTATCATAACACTGTAACAAACCTCGTTGCGAGAACAGTTGGTTTTATCCATCTCTTTCCATACTTGAATTGCCTCTTCACTGAGACCTGCTTTGAAGAATCCTTTCATCAAAGAGCTGTATGTGTAAGCATTGGGCAAGCAACCATCATTTATCATTTGATTGAGTATTTCCTTAGCTTCATTTGGTTTCCCTTCCCGGCACAAGCCATCCACAAGAGCACTGTACACAACAATATTGGGTCGGCACCCTCTCTCCTCCATTTTCTTCCACAAATTCATAGCATCTTCCGGTTTTCCCTCCTTAAACAATCCACTAATAAGAGCAGAATAAACATAATGATCCACAACATACCCTCTTTCTTCCATGGATACCAGCACCCGAATCCCATCCATTGTCCTTCCTTGCTTAACCAGACCATTAATGATTGTTCCATATGTGACATAGTTTGGCATGCATTTCCTGGACAACATATGTTCCAAGAGACTGACAGCTTTATCTAACTTACCCTTGAGACATAGACCGTGAATAATAGTATTGTATGTTATCTCATTCGGAGCACAACCCTTAAGAAACATATTATCCAACAGTTTTGTCACCCGAGTCAGGTTCCCTTTCTTGCACAATCCATCGATCAAAACATTGAATGTAACAGGGCTTGGGGAGCAACCTTCAATCTGCATCTCATCCAACAGCAAAATTGCTTCATCAATCCTATCCTCCTTGCACAACCCGTCCATCAATGTACTATATGTGTATGCATCAGGCAAGCAATTTTTGGCAGGCATGTCCCTGAAGACCTCAACTGCTCTATCAACAAATCTCAACTTACACAGAGCCTTGATGACCAAATTAAAACTCAACGCGTTTGGAGAAATGTTCATGCTCTTTGAATTTACAGCGTAAAACTCCAATGCACGATGGTAAAGACCCTCGTTTATAATCACATTCAGTACAGAATTAAACGACCTAATTGTGATTTTACATTGAAATTCGTCCGACATCCTATGAAACAAGTCGACAGCTTTCTCAGGCATATGTGCATTCCCGTAAGCTTTAAATATATGGATAAAACTCTTCTCTGTAATCACTCTCTTCTCTACTCTTATTCGACCCAAAAGCTTCTCAACCGACTCAAAATCACCCAAATTGGAATAATTCTCAATCATTGAATACAAAGTCGAATCGCCCAACTGGTAAGAACCCATTTTGGAACCCGGCTTGAACATCTGGTCCGGAATAGGGGGCTCCGGCGGCACTCTCGTGTGGGACTCGGCTTCCATGGATGTTTCCGAAGAAATTACAGGAGAAGAAAAACGAAGACGAACGGAAAGCTTGAGTGGGCTGCTCGAAAAGAATTGACTTTTTCGAACAAAGCCGCTGAAGAAGTTGGTTGGGATTGGGATTGAGCATTTGGGCATGGTCTGATGTTTTTCTTAGGGTTTTTGATTTGAGTCATCAGTCATGTTCTGTTCTGTGTGAGGGCAGAGGGAGGGAAAGAAAGAAGAAGGCGCACACAAAAATCCCTTTTTTCCCCTCTCATTCCCATTCCCATTCCCATTTTAATTGAAGGAATTGTATACTACTCTTTTTTTTTCAATAAAAAAAACTAAATCTGCCAAAATTTCCATAGAAAATTCATGTATATTGTACAATAGTAATATCCTAGAAATTATCTAATATAACAAAACTATTTAACATGCGGTCGATTTTAAAAAAATTTGGGATTAAGACGATGTTGTTGTTGATAAGATTGTATGAAACTTAAGTTTAGTAAAAACAGGCCACCTTAAATAATGAATGATAAGAACCCTCTTTTTTTGGCAAAGAGCCAATTTTTCCATTCCGAAAACACAGTCTCCATGAAACAATCTGACATCCGACCCAAACAAGATAGGAAAGTTACATCAAACACTGATATATATATATATATATATATCCATTCACATAACACGCATCATATTATATATCTCAACTGACTTATTCAGGTTTTAGATCATAATATAAGCATAATATATTTCTTCAGATGGCTGCTTCATTCCTCGAGGTCATCTTCTTGGCAACAAGAACGGGGTCACCAACTTTGATCAACTTCCCTTTACCATCACTGCTCCCTTCTTTCCAATCCCAAACCATCTCCTTACCAAAGAACACCTGCCACCACATTTCCACAAAAACCATACCGAAATCATTTTCCAATCGTTTAGCCTTAACCGCTATGTATTTCCCTAAACCGGGCCAAGTATCGCCTCTTCTTGCTATAATTCAAGCAGCAAAAGAACCTTTGCGATTCATTAGACCCCTATATTAGAGAATTGTGCTCGACTCGGGTTAAACCAAAGTAGAAACATTTATACTTCAACTTCAGATTCTTTAATCAAGCTCCGTAAAACGTCCTAAAGCAGAAAACGTCGCCAAGCTTGGGTTTAATAACTAACCTTTCCACGGGGCTTTTTGTCGGGCATTAAGACCTTATCTGATCTGAACTTCAACAGTGTTTCAGTTGGCTCGCTGCCCATAACCGCAGTTTCTTGATCCACAGTTGGTACCTGAAGAACACGTTACAGACTTGAATTTAAGGATCAAATCTGGACAACGGTTTCACATCTTGCAGGAAGAAGACTGTGCCAGTTCACAATGCAAGAAAGATGGTTGAATGTTTTTACCTTGCAACGGCTGCATAGCCTCACACCTTTGAATACTAAGTCATTTATTTTGATTTCATCCCACAGGTCTTCGCCAAAAGGCTCACAGCCATCCAGAAAGATGCTGCAGAGAGATTATACAGACAACAAGATAATACGACAGTGAAGAAGATTTATGTACAAACCTAGCGATGCGAAAGAAGTTCAAAAGGTATATGGACGAAAATAGAGAAGAAAACAAGCATTCGTGCAAGTTTCATGGATATGTTACTTGGGTCTGAAACGGTTCACGGGAACTGGCTCTGGCAGAAGCATGTTCAATTCATTCAACGAACCCTGAGAAAAATTACCAAATCGTATTCAAATATTCATTTTAGATGGGAAAAATGCAAGTTTCTTATTAGAAAACTAGATCACCTGAGATAAAAACAAGAACGGAAACAGATCCATAAACGTTGTAGAGTATCCTGCCGCATACTGAGGATCCACAGGCCTATGTTCAGAATCTGCAGTTAAGAGTTTCAGTTAAGTATGTCATCTGTTGCAAAGAGAACACAGTAAATCAAACCTTCACCTTTCTTAAAACGGACCAAGCGGCTGGGTTTCCCGATATAATCTGAGAACCATTTAGCTGCTTCTTCTCCCTCGTCCAAGGCAGAGCCAGACCACTCCCACATCGAGACACCTTCTGCCACAGAGTCCGGTGTTGTCAATGGGATCTTGAGCTCATTCATTCCAGGAGCTCTTATGACTGCAAATTAAGTAGAGACAGCAAACACGAGTTTGAAAGTGATAGCGGAAATGAGACACGAAATGGGAAGAAGATAAGATATGTTCATTTCGCAACAATTACCATCCACATAACAATTTGAACCCAACTCAGCAAAAAGTGAATAACGTCATATGATCAATTTTACCCATAAAAGACTTGTTTGTAGGCTCCCAGTCCTCTGAGAACGCCTCCTGGGGCATTTCCGGTTTGATCAGAGCAAGCTGTGGCACAATCCTCTGAGTGTATGCTCTCCCTTTGTAGTTCACGACTAGCCAGTGACGGTCCCATCGGAATCCTACATCAGTAACCAAACAGAATGACCATCCATGATCATTCCCAAGTATCTTTCATCAAGAGACCTTTCAATATAGTTATGTTTTCAGCCATCAGGCACTCGTAGTTGTAAAAGTTGACATCTTTCTCCCCAAAAATCGACCATAAGCATTGATTATGTGAAAATTCCTAAATTCTTTTGACATGTAATAGCTTCCTATGATGAAAGTTTAGGCAGCCTCATTCACACAACAAGTACGCAAAAGCAGGGAAACATAGTAGTCACTCTCATTTAAAGAGCGCTTTCCCGGGAAATTCACGCACTTTCCAACCAACCAAACAAATCCATTTTCATGTCGTCTTCTCATCATCCGCGGTCAGACCCGAATCATATCACAGAATACGACAATCGCTCCGCGAAAACAAAATCCCAGAAAGAACGAGAGGCCAAAAGACAAGGGTAATAAAGTTTCTCCGGAATCAAACGGACAGAACAAAAAAGAATGATCGGAGAAGAGGAAATTCCTCGTACCGGTGGGAGTAACGGGTGCCTGAGGAACAGAGATTCCGCGGCAGGATTTGATCGGATAGATGAACAAAGACGCAATCTTCGGAGACTGCTCCATCACTCTAAAAGCCTATCACACTCTCCTTCTCACTCGGGATATTATTATCGGGCGATGAAACCCAGATTCAGAACTTCACCATCTTATAAAACCCCACAAATGCTAAGATTTAAGAAAAAAAAAAGGGACCACGTCTTTCTTTGCAATTGCATGTGTGTTACTGTTTGATCATCCTTTATGATTTTTTCCCAATATTAACTCTTTGATTGGACCGTAAAACACAAAAAAAAAAAACTAAAAAACCGGTGGGAATAAAAATAAATAAATCATAAATACACACGTGGGACATGAGCAGACAGGTTACACCAACTTAGGTTTTATTCTACATCATGCAAAATCTTTTTATATAATGTAATTTCGACGTTTTATTCATACATTACACTCAATTAAAAAAAAATCAATGTTGCTAGTTTTTTTTTTCATTTTTTGGAAAAAGGAAAAAAAAAGAATACAGCAGTGGAAGCCTTCTTTTTTCTTTTCTTTGAAGAATATGCTCCTTGAAAGCCCAAGGGATCTATTCTCTCCAATGGCCTTGTATGTGAAATTGCTGATAGGAATCTATCTTCAAAGCAACAGAGGTTAGGACCCCAAAAAAATGAAAGAAGAAGGTGGTGTGTGGTGTGAGGGAAAACCTGCAAAGTGAACAGCTCCATGGATGGACTCCTCAAAAAACCTGTGGGAGACACATGCAAGGAGGGATATGTAACTTACAGCACGTCATGTCATGTTTGATTCACAATGTGGAAGACGATGAAGAAGAGGTTTTGATGTGATGTCTCATGGCATGACCATTAGGGTCGCTGAGAAACTCAGAGTCTGAAATGGCTGTCATCTTGCTGCAGAGTCAGATCTTGAAAATGATCGTTAGGGAAACTTTTCCCGAGGGACTTGAACTTGGGCCTTTCTAAACTGAAGCTTTCATGTGGCATAACAGGAAAACCGATCAAGGAGTTCACTCATCCGTTATCTTCCAAGAACGCTGAAACCCGTGTGAATGCCCCTCCCCAAATGGAGATCCGAACCTGAGTTAGAAAGGAGTTTTGCTCCCTTCCTTCCCAATTGAATCACCCAATTTTGGGTTAAAGAAATGATTTTGTTTGAGATTAAAATCTTCTTTCACTCCTACACAGGACGACGGCCACAATGAGATCTAACACGTTTTATTTCCAAGGAACCAGTATCCAAATGACAGACCTCTCCCTATCCTTTGCTGCATTTCCTCTTACAAGCATAACCTATAATAACTATAACTAGTAACTACTGGTCTTCAACATCTAATGTACTCTCCGAACTTTAAGCTCATATGGACAGACTTCACATAGTCACTGAGGAGATCAAATATATGAGTAATGGACCCACGTGTGAGAGCTGCAGGGAAGCAAGAAGAAAGGTCTAGCAATTTACTCTTGTTCTTCTCTAGGATCATCCCTCTTGACGTCATACGGATACCATTTCACAACCTTCTCACCAGTTAGCTTCTTCCCTAAGATCCTATGGGGAGACCTCTTCCCCACTAGGTTAAGCAAATGCCCAAAAATCCTTGCCCTTGAACGGTGATTGCTGCAGATACAATTCTCTTCAGGTTACCACTAGCCATTTTTGCCCTTAAACTACAGGCAACATAGGCAAAAACATAAACCTGGTCATCAATCCAAAGACCTCACTCAGACAAGGGAATTCACAGGATTAACAAAACTAACAAATATGAAACGAAGTGTCAGCCAGTGTTCCCAATCACATACAGTGCATCTAAAAGCCCGAGTTTTTTTTTATCCACTAAAAGCCCGAGTTCTGGTTTGTTTACAGGGAAAAGTTTATAACTTTCTAAATCATAAGGTTCCAAGGCTTGCGGCTTATAGCAAGAAAGAAGATTTCAGATGTGGGTTTCAGCAAGATGGCCAAAGTATGTAAAAGAATGAGCCAAAACAAGAGCTAGCAGGTGAAATTAGCATCATTAGACTTGGCAAAACTACACGATAAAACTCAATACCTGGACTTTCCCATTTCTTTTCCAACACGTCGCCACTCCGGCTATCGCTTTCATGACCGATTCAGTAGTCCATTTTCTCCCATTAACAATGCCCAAACAACATCAATGGAGACGAAACAGCTCTTAAAAGAGCCCAGATCACGCATTATTGGGTCACAAATAAGAACAGAGAAAATCCCGTTCAGCCATTTCACCGACCAGTGAGATGAAAAGGAATCTCGTAAGTAGCAGTTAGCCGAACGTCCGGCTTGCCGCGACGGAATCCGGCACTGAATCTCGACGGAGAAAGAGGGAGAAGGAAAGAGCAACTTACCAACAAAGCAAAGCACCATTGGGCTTTTTGCCGAGACCAAGAAAACCTTTCAGTATCCGGTTTGAAGCAGGGGTTTCCCTTCAGTTTAACCGGAACAGACCGGATCGAACCGAACAGAATCAGCCGAACCGCATGAAATTTGTTTTTGATTCGATTGACCGAGTCATCGCAGGGTAGTGCATTTTTTTAATGACTTCTTCGTATTCTGGTAACAAAAAAAGGCTATTATGTTCCAACTGGATTAATTTATTTCACAATAAAATTAAATCTTTAATCTTCATTGAATTCTTTATTGAAATGTGATTATTTCAAATTGGTTAGTCCATAAACATCTTCATAATAAATTCATTTCTCTTGTGAAGTTGTTGGGTTTTTTTTTTAAAAACAAATCTTACTCTTTCAATTTTTAGAGTATGTATATATAATATAATTCCTTAAGCTTTAAGAATATGAAATAAATTATAAATCGAGGAATAACAAGTCAAATAAATGATTAAGATGGCTATTAGACTTTGAACAAGTAATCACCCAAGAAAAAAAATATAATAACACAAGAAAGGCGAAGCAGTCACGAATTGCCCTGTTTTCCATATTATAATATTTTTAAAAGAACCATTTTTTTGTTTAAATTAATAAAAGTCGCCGTCTCCCAATTCTGGGTCAACTCTGTAATCGGAAAAAACAGAAACTTCGGTCTAACATATAAACCATAGGCAAGAGACAAAACTTCCACGGTCCTCAAACCCCAAAACCTACGTAAAGGACTTGACTTACCTGTTTTCATCCTTCATTTTCCCGGGAAACAATCAGAAAACCCAGAGATCACCCAGAACCCATCAGTTTGAATCCACTTTGGTGGCGTCTCCGGCGATGGGTTTGGTCAACGAAAGGAGTTTGAGCGCCGTGCTCGCGGCGTTGACCGTCGTCTTCGTCGCCATGGATAGCCTCGGACACTGCAACGCGAGGTTTGTAGTCGAGAAAGGAAGTGTGAGCGTTTTGAATCCGGAGGAGATGAGGTCGAAGTACGACGGATCGATCGCGAATTTCGGGTTGCCCGATTACGGCGGGTTCTTGATCGGGTCGGTGGTTTACCCGGAATCCGGAACCGCTGGCTGCTCTGAGTTTCATAAAACCTTCAAGGCGAAGTTTCCTCGTCCCACCATTCTTCTCCTCGATCGCGGAGGTAGGTTTCACAGTTTATAGATCAGTTCGTCCCAAAAGATTCCAACTTTAGACATGCCTGTTTGATATGTCCTGTTTCCGTCCTAGTTAGAGGCTTACCTGTTTCTGAAGATGTGCCTGGGATGACCATGTCTGAGAAATTGAACTTCATTTGGTTTGGTGTAACAGAGTTTTGTATTTGTATCTGTTTGATCATATACGCTATCAACTAATCGGTTGTTTAATCTGGTAAAGTTCTTAACTTTGATTAGTTTTGAGTTGATGATCTGTGTTTTCTGCCTCCTTTGTCATCAGAATGCTACTTTGCCTTAAAGGCGTGGAACGCTCAGCTAGCGGGAGCTGCAGCTGTACTCGTCGCCGATAACGTGGACGAGCCATTGTTAACGATGGATTCTCCCGAGGAGAGCAACGTAGCCGACGAGTTCATCGAGAGGATCACGATCCCGTCGGTTCTGATCCAACAATCCTTTGGAGAGAGCATAAAACAAGGACTAAGACGAGGTAAAGATGTAGTCTTGAAACTGGACTGGAGAGAATCAGTGCCTCACCCTGACCAGAGAGTGGAATACGAGCTCTGGACCAACAGCAACGACGAGTGTGGGGCCCGCTGCGACGAGCAGATGACCTTTGTCAAGAATTTCAAGGGTCACGCTCAGATTCTCGAGAAGGGTGGCTACACGCTTTTCACGCCGCATTACATCACGTGGTTTTGCCCTCTGCCGTTTATAAACAGCGCCCAGTGCAAGTCTCAGTGCATAAACAACGGTAGGTACTGCGCTCCGGATCCCGAGCAGGTTTTCGGGGAAGGGTATGAAGGGAAAGACGTGGTTTTCGAGAATCTGAGGCAGCTTTGTGTTCATAGAGTGGCGAACGAGAGTAACCGGTCGTGGGTTTGGTGGGATTATGTCACTGATTTCCATATCAGATGTTCCATGAAGGAGAAGAAATATAGCAAAGATTGTGCTGAAAATGTCATGAAATCTCTCAGTAAGTCCTCTGTTTTTTCCCAAACTGAGGAAGCTTTTCCTTGCTATCTCCTTTCTTCGGGTTATGAGTTTTCAACATTGTATCAGATTTACCTATTGACAAGATCAAGAGATGCATTGGTGATCCTGAAGCTGACACTGAGAACCAAGTTCTGAAAGCCGAGCAGGAACTTCAGGTCGGTTGTTCAAGTTCTGAAAATGTCATGAAATTGAAAGAGCATCCATCTTTCTTACGGAAATGTGTGAAATTCAGGTTGGCCGAGGAGACCGTGGCGATGTTACGATATTGCCAACGTTAGTCATCAACGATGCTCAATATCGAGGTTAATCGTGAATGTTGCTTGTTATTTTTTCCAAATCCGTCCCTCTCACTGAAGAACTTGGACCCTTCTCAACAGAGTTCTTGTCTTTCTCCGCATGTGAGATACTGAAATTTCCGTTTTCTTTTTTCTCAATGCGTGAAGGGAGGCTGGGGAGCACTGCTGTTCTAAAGGCAATATGCGCAGGATTCAATGAAACATCAGAACCTGCTATCTGTTTAAGCACAGGTCAATCTCTCTCTGTTACCATGATATCCATCTTTTTCAGACAGATAACACTGATCTTGTCTGTTCTTTTTCCATCCTCTCTTATAACCGGACAGATTTGGAGACAAATGAGTGTCTGGAGAACAATGGTGGTTGTTGGCTTGATGTTAAATCTAACATAACAGCTTGCAAGGTTTGTCGTAAGAACTATCGGATCATGTCTGTATAGCATCAATCTGATCGCTTGGATACCGAGTAGTTTTCAGAACTGACGACGGAAATCTTGATTATCTTCTATCAGGACACGTTCAGAGGAAGAGTTTGCGAGTGCCCGGTCGTGAAAGGTGTGCAATATAAAGGCGACGGGTATGATTCATGCTCGCGTAAGTTACTCTTGGCCATCAAAATGACAATTCTCTCGGCGACAATACTAGCTCAGACTGATTTCTGGTTTTGTCTCACTATTACAACCTTTGTATTGCAGCTTATGGGCCAGCGAGGTGTACTATAAACAACGGAGGTTGCTGGTCGGACACAAGGAACGGCTTGACTTTCTCTGCTTGCTCAGTTCAGTGACTTTTCCTCTTTGCCCTTCTTTGAGTTCTTTTTCCAATTCATCAACTTCATTGTCTTCTGTCTGAAACTCGGAGTAGAAGTTCCGTAAAACGTTACTTATAAGCTCTTTGCAACTAAACCTGTTATAGGAGACTGACTCAACGGGCTGCAAATGTCCCCAAGGGTTCCGAGGAGATGGTCATACATGTGAAGGTAAACCTTATGAAGATTATAACTCACTCTTTGTGGATTTTGATTTTGGATAACAAAATCTTTCAAGGAGTTCCATGCCTATTTCTAAAACTAAGATACCGTTCTTTTCGGTGATTTTTCTTCCTGCAGACATAAACGAATGCAAGGAGCGTTCGGCTTGTCAGTGTAGTGGCTGCAAATGCAAGAACAAATGGGGCGGATACGACTGCAAGTGCTCCGGGAACCGTCTCTACATACACGAACAAGACACTTGTATCGGTACACACCACTGATCTTGAATGCCTCTACTTCAGATCTTTAAACCGATTCAAGAAAAAACATTTTTTTCCCGTTCTCCTTCTGATGATAAAAGGAAGATTGACGATATATTCGCAGAGAGAGACGGGTCCAAAACAGCATGGTGGTTAACACTACTGGTCCTGGCCATCGTCACAGCAATCGGTTTAGCCGGTTATCTATTCTACAAATACCGGTTCAGGGTACTCGCACTCCTCAAACACATTTCCTTTATATCTTTGTCTCTGTAACTTCAAAGCTGAGATTTTTCAATTAATGGCATTTTTCTTTGAACAGACATACATGGATTCAGAGATCATGGCGATCATGTCGCAGTATATGCCGCTCGATAGCCAACGTGCCCGAGAAGTTCATACAGAGGCTGAACCCTTCCGACTGAACCCTTCAGTCTAACGTATTATACGTGCCGGTGCGAACGTGTCGGATTCTGTGGGTCCCATTTCTTGCACGACAGAAGAAGTTCTCGATACGTTAAGATACGGATGTTGTCGTCATTTGGTGTACATATGGTTCACTGTTTCGTGAAAGCTTTGTGTAGAGATAATAAGTACATGTGAGGGGTTGTCTTTGGTTGGGGGTTATACACAGTTTAGGCTTTGTAACTACAGAGTCAACGGCTTTGCTTCAACAAAAAATAATTTAAACAGTAAAAAGAAAAACAGAGCAGCTTCTTTCTTTGTTGAATAAAAAAATTTAAGTTTTGAACATTTATTTTATGCAATAAACATCGAAACATATGCTTTTTTTACATCATTTATGTCTTACTTACAAATTTCTGGTAATAAAAAACCAAATGCTTTCGTTGAGAGTCGAACTCAAGACCTCCCGCTTACTAAACGGGTGCTCTAACCAACTGAGCTACGAAAGCTTGCATGTTCAAAAGTATATACACAAAAATGGTTCTTTTTCGGCAGATTTTACCGTGGAAGTGGAAGATAAGGTTGGGCCAATGGTTTTACCGTGATCGGTGTTACAGACTGTAAAAAAATGTTGTCGAAAAAGAAATCCATGACGGAAATTTAAACTGAAGAATAAGAAATTTGGATAACGTTGGTCTCTTCCTTTCTTAAGACCAGGGTGGAACTCTTCCCGTTGCCGGATGGCTTCTTCTTCCTTCCTCCTCCATCAGCTAGCCAATACATTCGTCTCCAAACCCCAAGTACAAGAATCTTTTTTGCGTTTACACATATGGCTACGCATATACATAAACGTTCGTATTTGTTTGTGTTTTGTCTCGGTTCTGAGTCGCTATGCGTTCATGTTCCTGTCCTTTGCAAGGGTTTCTGCAGTGGAATTGGATCAGCACCAAAACCCAGATTCAATTTGGGTAGAGACAGAGAAAATGGCCTCCGACCCATCAGAGTTGCCACCGTTGAGACGGAAACTTTTCCTCTGTTTCAGTCTACTGCCGCCGAAGAATCTTCGTCCGAGGTATTAGTAATCCGAATCCTTCAAAGCTTGATTTTTTTCTTTTGTTTGATTGCTGAGAAAATCCTCTGGAGAAACCTATGTGGTCTGTAGAATTCTGGAAAAGGGTTTTGAAGGAGAGAAGGAAATCAGACTTGATTAGTTTCTGTTTTGTTCATTAGCTGGAACCAGCAGATCCGGACTTCTACAAGATAGGTTTTGTCCGAAGTGTGAGAGCATATGGTGTTGAGTTCAAGGAGAGTCCTGAAGGTTTTGGCGTCTATGCCTCCAAGGACATCGAACCACGTCGTCGTGCCAGGGTGAGTTGCTTAGTTTCCACCAAAGTTTTCGACTTTTTTCTGCCATTACCTTTGATGGCTGTATCTTTGTTTCTTGGTGGTTTTTTGGCAGGTGGTAATGGAGATTCCTCTAGAATTGATGATAACTATAAGACAGAAGTCCCCATGGATGTTTTTCCCGGATTTTGTTCCTATAGGTCATCCTATATTTGATGTCATCAATTCGACTGATCCAGAGGTATTGCATTTGTGTAACTATAGCCAGACTCTTTCTGTAGTAGCCAACCAAAATTATTGGCTTTGGATGAAATTGTAGACAACAAAGTTGTTCTCTTTCTCAAAATCTTTGCTTTTGTGTTTCCTTGACAATGAACTGATTCTTGTTCATCGTTGAAAAAGGTTATGTCTTGTTTTTAGTTTCTATTTGTGCTAATGTGACATTTCTGTGAGTTTACAGACGGATTGGGATCTCAGACTGGCATGTCTTCTTCTATATGCATTTGACAGAGAAGATAACTTCTGGCAGCTCTATGGCGATTTTTTGCCTGCTGCAGATGAGTGCACTAGCTTGCTCCTGGCTAAAGAGGTGGACTGATTTTCTTTAAAACTATTCATATTTACATCTCTATTTTGGTGTCTTTCATCAATCAAATGAGTAATCAGATCCACTTTTGTTTTCTTTGCTAAACCTCTATTTCTCTGTCATTTGGTATTTTTGTTGTAGGAAGACCTTGTGGAGCTTCAAGATCCTGATCTTGCATCAACTATGAGGCAACAACAACAACGGGTCCTAGAGTTTTGGGAAAGGAATTGGGTAATCAGGCATGAAGCTTAGAGATTTTCACTCCATTCCGAAATATTGTGATTGCTGTTTTTCATTGACAAAGACCTGTAACTGTGTATAACTTAGCATTCAGGAGTACCGCTAAAAATAAAACGGCTAGCTCGTGAGCCTGAAAGATTCATTTGGGCGACTAGTATTGCCCAAACCCGATGCATTGGCATGCAAACAAGGATTGGTGCGTTGATTCAGGATTCAAATATGCTGATTCCATATGCTGGTAAGCAAGATTGTGTACATTTAATTGTTCAGTTGCTGTTGACCGACTCATCGACGAGAATTCCAACTTCTGTCATTGAACTTTATGTTGGCTCAAGCTAGAAACAGATGAATCTGATTGGAATCTCAAAACTGGTCATGCAATTGCTCATGTTGGTAGTTTAACCATGTTCTGCAGACATGCTAAACCATTCCTTTCAACCAAACTGTTTTCTACATTGGCGAGCCAAAGATCGCATGCTTGAGGTTATGACAAATGCTGGTCAAGGTATCAAGAAAGGCGAAGAGGTAAGAACTCAATGGCTTTCTCCAATGTTTCTGTAAATCCCACCACTGTCAATTAAGGCACGTATGGTTTCAGGTCACGCTATTATATTTCGATTGAATTCTTAAACCAAATTTGAGGTTGAATTACCATTATCGATAGGTCAAAGGGATTCATTCATTCAAGAACATGAAAAAATGATCTCATCTCATAAATGCTTTTGCAGATGACGATTGACTACATGCCAGGCCAGAACAACAACATGCTTATGCAAAGATATGGCTTCTCGTCTCCTGTGGTAATTTACTAGCTGCAAATTAATTCTTAAGCCAGGAGATGATACTTCAAAGTTTTTCTTGTTTGTCTGCAGTTTTTTTTTCTTCATTTCAACACGTTAAATCTACTAGTTTACACAATTTTGCATTCATGCAGAATCCCTGGGATGCTATACAGTTCTCTGGAGATTCCAGGATACATTTAGACTCCTTTTTGTCAGTCTTTAATATATCTGGTCTTCCTGAAGAATATTATCATGCCAGTAAGTTCATTTTCTTTCACTCCATCCCGTTATAAACAATGTATGTTGATAACAAATGAGGGAGAAAATAAGCAAGATTTTGCAAATTCTGAGTGACATGTCAGGTTCTGGATGAGGTCTAAGATAACTCGGTAACTATACATGCATTCAATTCTGAGGCATTTTGTAATCAGATCCATATCACAGCAGAGCTAACCCGTGGTTTGATAGATGAATCCTATCTTGACCCGTTATCGTATCAGAAAAGGCTATGTTAAGTATGAGTAGACAACATTTGTATCGGGACTGACACAATTAATATGGGGCAGGCCAGTTCTCTGAGGATGGTGACTCTTTTGTTGATGGAGCCGTCATAGCAGCGGCAAGAACATTGCCCACTTGGTCAGATACAGATGTTCCTGCAATTCCCAGTGCAGAGAGGAAAGCAGCAAGGGAGTTGCAAGATGAATGCCAAAAGATGCTTGCTGAATTCCCCACAACTTCAGAGCAAGACCAGAAATTGCTAGGTAAAATCCGATATTCAGTGTCCAGATAGCAGAATGCAAAACCCGTTTATCAATCCCGATAATCAGAACTTTCATCTTGTAGCAGATTCTCTGTCGGAAGCTAGGACAACGTTTGGGACAGCGATCAAGTACAGAATGCACAGGAAGATGTTTGCCCGGAAGATCATCAAGGCACTCGACATCTATCAAGAACGGATACTGTTTTGATCCGAACGAAATGTTCAACCTTTTCTCCGATAAATGCAAGGGTTGTCGATCAAATCTGAGATCTGTACACGAGAATGTTCTTCCTCACTCCATCTGAATTACTCAGCCATGGCCATTGAAGGTTCCATTGTCTTTATTGTCAAGTTTGTCTCCATGGTGTGGAGGGTCATTTCTTTAATAGTGTTAATTAGACTGAGAATGTAGTTAGGTTTATTTGCTCGAAAGGCGCATCTTCGCTTTTGTGAAGTTCTCCACAAGTCGTTCAACGTTTAATGACAGGTATGACAGTTTAAACCGTTAAGAGATTACACAGTGATAAATTATACTGTCCTAAACCTTGATGAAATAGAATGAATTGTCCGATATGTTGATGTCTTGTTATTCAATAACACAATACAGAATTATACATTCTTAAGACACCAAACGAGATTGGTTTAATAATATTATCCAAACACAACTGAATGTTTTTTTCTTCTTTCTAATCATTGTAATATGGTTGCCCCGTCGAAATCATAGTTTGAATTTTATCACTCCTATGATTAGAGAAAAGGGAAGAAAACAAAAACATTGGTCATTTTCATAAAATAATTATCGTACGTGCTGTGGTTGACTGTAATAATGCAGGAGAATCAAGTTTACGTGCACCAACTTGCTTTATACTCGAACAATAAAGGTAAGAATTATAACTAATATATGTTAATAATCTATTAAACAAGATGCTGAATCCAAAAGAATAAGACAAGAAGATGTTTGATGCACCAAAAAGAATAAAATTTATCTCAATAAACACACTTATTATGGAATAAGAAGAGCTTATGTTAAATTTTTTTTTATAATCTGAAAGTTTATCGGGTCTTTTGCCCAACTATATCTTTCAGAAGATTGGAGACGTTCAGGTGAATGTCTCTCCACACGCTTGGCTTTGAACCCAGAATAAGAGAATGTTTTGCATGTTCTCTTACCACTGGTTTACCCAAATTTGGGTTATGTTAAATAGTGATTAAACCATTAATCACATTTCAATCATGAAGTCGTAGATATTGGTCGATCTCAACATCGAATTTTGATGGGCATTTACAGATCTATTATATGTATATGGTACATAACAAATGGATGAAAAGAACAGACTAATCTCATCATTAAAGGCTAAACAAGATGATTATCGTATAATTAGCCAATGGGTATGACTATGGTACGTATATGATTGGGTTGCTTGATGTCATATTTACTTAGGGTAGGTTTGATTGGTTTGGACAAAAGAGGAATATCAACAAAGAGTAGAAGAAAAGCAACGACAATTATATTATTAACCACAAGTTAATAAAAACAAGCCAATATAATTAGGGGACAAGAATGAATATAATTTTTTTATTAAATAAAGTTTTTTGTAATTATAACCAACAAAAACAAGACAAGAAAAGGCCATTGCATAGCTACAAAACGTTTGTTGGCTCAATCCATTAAGACAGCAAAAACATATATAAAAAACTATTTGCTTAATTAGTTTCGATTAATCTAGTAATTATCGTATTCCTTACTAGGGTCATTTTATCTTATAACTTTGAGTTGAATAATTATAAAACAATTATATGATGGAATAATTACTAAAATATGACAAAATATCCAAAAGTTACGGTTTATCTTGGAATATACCACACCACAACTGTAGTTTTATTTGCGAGTTTATATATATATATTCTCTAACAAAATATAAAAAAAAAAACTATTTTCAAAAGATTACGATTAGATTAGAAGATAATAATTAATGATGAGTGCACACACACTTGTAGTTTATACAATGTATACGTATATAAATTTTGACCAAATTCTTGTAACGCAAATCTATATATATTAATAAAGATGTTTAAAGAGATTTGGTGAGGACACCTAAGCATCCTATGTGGCAATTTTCTTCATTTCAATTGGTTTATAAACATGTTCATTAGTTTTAACTACATGAAAAATATCAATTGACTAATTAATGAAAAACAATATTATTAGTTATCTTAATGAAGAAAAATTAAAAAATTTCATCTTTGTAATATAAAAAATATTATTAGTTATCTTGATAATATTATTCAAATTACAAAATTAAAATATAATATTATATAATAATCTTGAGAGAATGATAAAAGAAAAATATCAATAGAAATCTAGGTGGAATCTTTAATAGTATACAAAAAAGAAAATATCAATGGACATTTTGGTGGAATCAACCTAGCGTGATAACAATCATTTAATAACCACTAATGAAAAAAACTATTAGTCTTCCCCACTAATTCACTAATGAAAAACGTTACTAATGAAAACCGACGTTATAAATATTTGCATTGCATGTCCATTTTATTTATTTTTTGTATAATTGCAATTAAAGTTCTTGGTTGGGGTGAAGATGGTTTTTATTTGATGAGCAATCCTTGCATTCTCTAGCATGTTCTGTCGTTGTGGAATATCTCTCGAGTGTAAATGTGAAACAGTTTATAATCCGTAGCCGTCGCAAGATATTTGCTTATCATATTGTGATCCAACTCGCTGAGGATCTCTCCCAAGGGTAATTTTCAACGATTTCTTTTCATTATTTTATTTGAAGAAATCGTGAGTTTGATCGAGTGCAGGTAAAGCTATTAGATTTCGAAGAAGATCGTTTATCTTGATGTGAAAATATAGAATATGCTTCTAAACACCAACATGAATCTGAAGATAATTGATTTTGGGTTGTTCGGGTGGAGGCACACAATCCAAAGGACATGAGCGGTGAAACTGATACTTTTGGATAAATGAATTATGAGGTATATACTAACCTCTCCATCGGATTTAAAGAAACACCATAATTCATTGTGTTCTGGATGGCAAACCCTACTATATGTTGGATAATGCCCAAAAAGAAACACAAAGGGAGACAAAGATTTTTACTTCAAATGTACTACAAAATGTTTTGTTTGACTTTGTATGTTGGCAGTTGAGTTATAGATTTTTAACATCTTAAATATTTCTTATACAACATCATAAATATGATAAATTGTAGATTTTTTTTTTAAGTTTTATACAGGAATATTTATTCAGTAACCATATAAATATATAGATCTAATTATCTCCATATAGACTATATATTTTCAGAACATACATATATATATATACACACACTATCTTTATGTTCTATATGTTTCAGAACTTGCACTTAGACCTACGGATATACAACACTTATCTCTTGATGCCTCTTTTTTTAACCATAAATAATGAATTAGAGTTGTCAAATGGAAAAGCAAATATATCTATATATCTATATATATATATTGATTACATATTTCAAATGATATATACAATGCTGATCTGATTATTATTGTGATTGATGAGTATTTGTTATATGAAGGGAATATCATCTGGTTTTAGTGGACAAAGCGGTCCATTACAAAGCCACCATCGGCGGCAAGGGAGGGAGCACAGTATGTATCTGAGCATTGATTTTCCGGCGAGAACAAGCTAGGTGACTCGGCCACTGGTACAGACGATTCCGGTCCAATGACACGGAGTCGGGTTGGAATCTGACCAGGAGCACGCAGAACAAACCGATCTCGATGGCGGATTTTAAGGCAAACACAAACACCCCATTAGAATTAAGCGATGAACAGAAGCTCACCATGCACAGAAAGATGAAAGAAACAAAAAGAAAACAAAACTAAAGCATATTCATTTCGAACAAAGAAATCTGAAATATGCGTCAGTGATTGTTCTAAAGAGGAATCATGAGGTGGGTGAAGCAACGAGGAATTGCAGAGAGAAGACGAAGGAGAAGACTAAGAAATGTTATCGAGGTTGGAGTGTTATGCATTCCTTGAGCAACGTGGTGTAATGAAACCATTAGAAAGTTTTTGAATTCTTGGCAGACACTGTCAGAAAATGTGCGAGTGAGGTATTATTTGAAATACTAATAATAGTATAAAGTTAAATTAATGTTTTACTTAAATCCAAGTTTTTTTGTCATTGAACGATGGATGAGGATGCAAGTGGGTTGTTGTCTTTTTTTATTTGACCAATCTAGTTTTGTTATATTAAATTATAAATGTTAGGACTTATGTCGATTAACAATTTAGCATTGGGTTTAAATTTTTACATCATATAATATATGCTTCTAGCAATGATCGTGTAACACAGATAAAACTACATAACGTAGGCTTAGAAGAATAAATTTAATCAAACTATACGACTAAAATAAATGATGTATGTATGTGTGTATATGTATAGATTTTTTTCATCAATTTTAATATTTATTTTATTTGGGTATTTATGTTAATAATTTCTTTTTAGTTTTTAATTTATTTTAATTATATGTAGCGTAATAAAATGAATGTTGCATAGATATATAGAATGAAATTATTTTTTATTTTAATCAAAATAAATGTAGTTTTATATTTTTCCACAGTTTGTTGCACAAAAAATCTAAATAAGTCATATATACTATTATTACATTATATTTTCATTAATAATTTATTGAAATGAGATGTTTTTAAATAAGGTTAAAATTGAAAACTTTACTAAGACATTACCTAGAAAATATTGAACGATATTTATTTAGTAATAAAATTTTTTCTGAGCTTCTGCAGTAAGAGTATAGCTTCATCTTCTCCTTCGCCGGAAATCGTCTGATGAGACAGCAATTTAGGATATTACCTGGTCATGGAACGAAACAGCCAAAAAAAATTGGATACTATTATGCGAAAGGGTAATCATATAGATCGCTCTTCAGGTCCCTTTTTCTTCTCTCTCTCTCTCTCTGTTAATCATTTTGTATGCGGTACCATCGTCTTCTCCTTAGGTCTATGACTGGATGAGTAACTGAGGCGAAAGGTTCTGCTTGTCTGCCAGTGATTCCGCAATTTAGCTCGACCTTATTGGCAAAATGCGTGGCATTTCATCCGCTGAAGAATTTTTGCTCCGACTCCCTGACAATTTTAACGGCAGGAGGGTTTATGTCAGGGCTAAGTCCAGAGAGAAAGCTGAGGATCAAGGATCCAGTGAGAACCGTAAACCCTGTGGATCTCAAGGATCCATTGAGAAAATGGAACAAGAGTATCAAATGAAGTCAGACATAGTCACCAATCCTAACTGGACCACTTCCAGTATCATGCTACCATATATATTAAATAGATATAGATGGGTGACTCGATGGATATTATTTTGCTTGTGGTGAAGAAATGAGTTTAAAGGATTGTAACGAAGCATTGAAACCACCTCAACATCCACATCATCATCTATGTGATATTTTTTAAAATATTCAAAATCTTTGTTTAAACATAATTTGTTTTTAATTTTATATATTATTAAAATTTTATTTGATTATACATATATTTTATATAAAATTAAAATATGTTTAAAGATATAAAAAATGAAAAATATCAATATCTTATTATCAATTTTAAAAAACAAACAGTTCATCTTTATTTTAGATAATAACTATGATAATTAAAATGATAATATTTTGAGAAAAAATTTATCAATGATTGTTATAATTAAAAAATATAAAAAAACTACCAAAAATATGGTTAAAAAATATTCATTAAACTACCCATAAATAAAAAACTGACAATAATATTCATTAGTTCACCATAATTATTATGACAATAAATGGAAAGCAATATAATATATAATATATATTTAATAGAATAAAAAATTAAAAAATTAACTACCCAAAACGATTCATTACCTTCAAAACAAGAAATGGTGCATATATTGGTGGTCATAAGTGGTCAAGATTATTAATTAGTAATATTTTATGTAACCTATAAAGGTCTTCGAGTGGTGGTGGAAAACTCTATTTTTTACT